GACCGGACTTTTCCCTTCTGCATTTATAGAATGCAGGTCGGTCACCTTCCCACCCCAGCCTGTGATTGGACGTTGAGGGAGCAGTAGTATGTTGAAGAGCCGATTCTACTCTATCGTCCTGCCAGCACATGTTCATGTTGCACAGCTTGATTGGCTACTGGGCTGACACTCCCTCTCCAAGCTGCACAGGACCATACCAAGCAATATCCAGGCAGCATCAGGGGCGGACTGACCAATTTCGTGCACTCGGGCACTGCCCGAGGTCCCGGGGTCAGTAGGGGACCCCATGAGATGCCCCTGGTGGTACCTTCATAGGCTTTTTTGGGTGTGGTTTGAGTGTGGGTGAGGACACAGGGGCCCCATGATCCCCTATTGCCTGGAGGCCCTATGAGTTGTCAGTCCGCCCCTGGGCAGCATGGTGACCGAGCTGTCAAAGTCATGATTGGGAGCCTGCCAATCATGTGACTACTGTGGCAGCCAATCTCAGTGGTCGCGGTACAGAATGGGCAGTCCTTCCCGCCGCCTAAAGTATAAATGGCTGCTGTGTTACAGAATTGCATACCGGTTGCAGATATTTCATGTAGCCGGGTAGTTCCCGTATTGTCAGCAGAGTGTCGAGTCTCGGGCACAGATCAGGAATCTTACACATTCTGTAGGAAACAGGAATGAGTACAGTGCATGAATGTAGTGCCCAGCTCTGCAGTTTAGAGCGCCCCCTTCTGGTTTGAGCTCTTTTGTGCAGGAATTTGCATCATAATATTAAGCCAGATCCAAACACTTATACTAGCTGTTTATAAAAATACATTTAAGGCTGGCCATACACTATACAATTTTCTTGAGATTTTTACTTTAGATTTACCAAAAACCATATAATATGAGGTCACACCCAAACAACACTTTCAGTTGTATCCAATTAGGCAGGGCCTTGCACTACACAGTTGAAGGTAAATCTAAAGGAAATTGGACAGAAAATGGTATAGTGTATGGCCCAGCCTTAGTTTTGAGTAAACCCTAACAATTAACTTATTTGTTCCCTTTTGGTCTGTTAAATAAACCTCTGAAAATGTTTTGTTGTATCTGTTTTTAAAAAATTACCTGTTAGAAAAATTGTCTACTGCCTGTGTGCTCAACCTGTGCTGACTCTTACCTGTTACATTGTTCCCAGCGCTCTCCGTGGGGATACAGAACAGCTTCCCTATATATAATCATAAAGAAGAGGAGAGGATGTGTTCTATAGTCCCGCCCTAGGGTGGCAATGCTTGTTCTCACCATAGATACAATGCAGTGAGTTACATTGGTGATCAGTGGGATGAATGTCCCTTACATTGGGGTCAGTAGGAAGAATGTCCCTTACATTGGAGGTCAGTGGGGAGAATGTCCCTTACATTGGGGGTCAGTGGGAAGGATGTCCCTTACATTGGTGATCAGTGAGAAGAATGTCCCTTACATTGGTGGTCAGTGGGAGGATGTCCCTTACATTGGGGGTCAGTGGGAAAGAATGCCCCTTACATTGGTGATCAGTGGGAAGAATGTCCCTTACATTGGAGGTCAGTGGGAAGAATGTCCCTTACATTGGGGATCAGTGGGAAGAATGCCCCTTACATTGGTGATCAGTGGGGAAGAATGCCCCTTACATTGGTGATCAGTGGGAAGAATGTCCCTTACATTGGTGGTCAGTGGGAAGAATGTCCCTTACATTGGGGGTCAGTGGGAAGAATGTCCCTTACATTGGGGGTCAGTGGGAAGAATGTCCCTTACATTGGTGATCAGTGGGAAGAATGTTCCTTAGATTGGGGGTCAGTGGGAAGAATGTCCCTTACATTGGTGATCAGTGGGAAGAATGTCCCTTACATTGGGGGTCAGTGAGAAGAATGTTCCTTACATTGGGGGTCAGTGGGAAGAATGTCCCTTACATTGGTGATCAGTGGGAAGAATGTTCCTTACATTGGGGGTCAGTGGGAAGAATGTTCCTTACATTGGGGGTCAGTGGGAAGAATGTCCCTTACATTGGTGGTCAGTGGGAAGAATGTCCCTTACATTGGAGGTCAGTGGGAAGAATGTCCCTTACATTGGAGGTCAGTGGGAAGAATGTCCCTTACATTGGTGATCAGTGGGAAGAATGTCCCTTACATTGGGGGTCAGTGGGAAGAATGTTCCTTACATTGGGGGTCAGTGGGAAGAATGTCCCTTACATTGGTGATCAGTGGGAAGAATGTCCCTTACATTGGGGGTCAGTGGGAAGAATGTTCCTTACATTGGGGGTCAGTGGGAAGAATGTCCCTTACATTGGTGGTCAGTGGGAAGAATGTCCAGTCCCTTACATTGGAGGTCAGTGGGAAGAATGTCCCTGACATTGGTGGCCATTGGAAGAATTCTCCTTACATTGGGGATCAGTGGGAAGAATGTCCCTTACATTGGTGATCAGTGGGAAGAATGTCCCTTACATTGGGGGTCAGTGGGAAGAACGTCCCTTACATTGGTGATCAGTGGGAAGAACGTCCCTTACATTGGGGGTCAGTGAGAAGAATGTCCCTTACATTGGGGTCAGTGGGAAGAATGTTCCTTACAGTGGAGATCAGTGGAAAGAATGCCCATTACATTGGGGGTCAGTGGGAAGAATGTCCCTTACATTGGTGATCAGTGTGAAGAGTGTCCCTTACATTGGGGATCAGTGGGAAGAATGTCCCTTACATTGGGGGTCAGTGGGAAGAATGTCCCTTACATTGGGGATCAGTGGGAAGAATGTCCCTTACATTGGGGTTCAGTGGGAAGAATGTCCCTTACATTGGGGGTCAGTGGGAAGAATGTCCCTTACAGTGGAGATCAGTGGAAAGAATACCCTTTACAGTGGGAAGAGGAGCCTGGTATGGATAGGCAGGGACCCCCATGCCGTTTTATTCCCCAAATTTTTAATTGCTGGCATTCTTTTGTTTACATTCAGCTGTTAGCAGGAAACCCAGCTGACAGCTGATGAGTCATCAGTTGCTAAGGAAACAGCGACCAGCCAGCTCCCTAGCTACCTGCTATTCTTTACACAGAATTCAGATTGGTCAATTTGAATTCTAATTCTACTAAAAACTTAGAACATGAATACACCAAATAAAATTAAACAAATTTTTCTTAAAAAAATTCAAAAAGCGTAAAAAAAAAGCATGAAAAAAAAACACGTCCAAAACGTGCGTGCAAAAACACAAAACACAACCCAAAAAGCACTGCAAAAATTGATCAAACTCACACTGCATTGTGAACGAGCCAAATGGAACCTTTACAGTGATTTTCAAAATGCCACCCTTACAGACAGCTAAGAAGATCATGGTTTCTTGCTGCTTGCTCTGCTATGTGGAGTTGGCCCCAGAACTTATGCAGGCACCACCAAATGGGAGGTCAACCAGCCACAGCTCAAGTAACCCCTACCAGCTTCTGGAGGAACCCAAGGGTTGCCATAGGACCTTGGTTGAGAACGTCCGCTCTAATACTTTAACGATCTTCTATGTGGATTGAGTTCAGCATGAATAAAAACAAAATTCGGCCACGCTTCCAAGATCATCATATCATTTAGGCCAGTTTTGTGAAGAACGCTGACCTCTGTTGCCTTCAGTTCAGGCAGAAGTGAAAGAGCAATGTTGAGGAAATCAGTATAAACACACAACTAGCTCCAGAAGGCCAAGAAGCCCTGCAGTGACCCGATTACATTTATTATAACATCTTGTTTTCTGCAGTAAATCTGTGCAATACAATAAAAAAGAAGAAAAATTCAAGCCGTGGAATCTCGCCTCTTTAAATCCCCCACAACGGCTTAGCTTGTAATGACAACTTTTCTCATGAGTAACGACCTTTGCAACCTTACGCTTCCCCATTTATCCACAATATATTATTGTAATTAGTTATTTCGGTCACTTTTGTACAATTTTAACCATCACCTTGGCCACCAGCACCTGTGGAGGAGTTGTATTCTTTTGTCTAAACGCTCTGTAGCGGAAAAGAAAGTCAGGTTATCTGATGAATCAATGCAAAGCTCTCCCGCCCCTTCCACCAGTACATGGATGTTCCCTCACCTCTGTGACATGGAAGGAAAATTTCAAGCGGCGACAAAAACCTCATTCAGTTGAAGACGCGTGTTATGAATGCACTTAGCTATTTCTATTTTCTATAGTCCCTTTATTTACAGAGTCATTATGCTGACAATTATTCCTCTCCATCCTGAATATCTTTGTCATCTACCTTTTGTTTCATAGACTTTTGTCTTTTGTTTGATACGGCGTATTCAGGGCAAAAGGCAACTTACGTTCATTAGGGAAAGTCTTTGAGGCATGGCTGACAAGATTGAATCTGGGATCTTAATAAAAAGAAGTACAATAGCATTTTTAAAAAATTCTTTCATCAAAAAAGCTCCTCATCCCATAGATCAGCTATTCTCAACCAGGGTCCAAGGAAACGTAGGGTTCCTCCAGAGGTTGCTAGGGTTTCCTTGAATTGTGACTAATTGATCTGATGGTGCCTACATAGTCCAGTGCCAATGCCACTCGGAGGAGCCTGTGGTATGATTCCATTTGTCCTTTTAGCTGTCAGCAAGAGTGGCATTTCTGACTGCCACTGTAAGGGGGGGCATTCTTTCCACCACCAAACATGACCCACAAATTTTTTTCAGGGGTTCTCCTAGACCTGAACAAGGTTGAGAAAGGCTGCTGTAGAAACACAGTGGCTGGGAGGGGTGCTGTACCTTCTGGTCGCATCTCTTTCTGAAAAGTTACCCTCTTTCATAAGTGGGTTCAAAATGAACAGCCTGATTTATGATGTCCTGTTGGAGGACTGACAATTGTTGGATGCAGAAGCAGGATAAGAAATCCTCACTACATATTTTGACCTTACCCTAAAAAGAATGCACAGGTGGCACAAGCATTCCCTTAAAGGCCATAAGATCTGGAAGGTGCCACCCATGGGTATCAAACTAGGACTGGTGACCCCCCTCTGAGGACATGTTTTGACACGATACACGTCGGGAGGAGCCACACAACGCCGTAACGTCACGCCGCCGGAGCAACGTGGCCATCTTTAAATACCTGACGTTTAGTCACACTGCTGTCTGGATTATACCCACTGTTTTACTTCTACCGTTTCTGATGCTTCAATAATAAAGTTTTTCTAATACCTACTACACTATGAGAGTGTTCCTGTTTCCACCCCTTGGGGGAGTACTTTAAATTCAAAGACCCACCATTCCTGGACAGGCTGTTATTCCTCATGGATACTTGGTGACACTACCCTGGAAGGAACAAGGATCCCCAGTACTTGGTACACTACCTGATGACCCATCCCTTAGAGGGAAGATCTTTCAGCGTCAGGCTCCAATAGATGACATCTGGATTTATTATATAAAAGCGCTATTACTATGCGCGTCCGGTGAGTGCGCATTACTTACACCACTATAGCACTGCTTGCCGGATCAAGATGCACCTAGTCACCTTATTGGAACTTTTTATAATTGTTTGAGATGCTTTTAATTGATGATTCAGTTTAGTTCCTCTAAATTGTGTTTATAGATCAGTTGTTTTTATTATCCTTTTGGACACCATATATATATATATATAATATATATATTTATATATATATATATATATCTGTCTTAGCGCTGCACGATTCCATTTTTTGATACTTTAGGATCATTAAACTACTTGTTTGCCCTCTCTTTGAAATCCATTGGCCATCAGCTGCTCAAAGACCTAAGACCGTCTACCCTTCTGGCCAAAATGAGTATTGTTACTGTTTGCCTGTAGCTCAGGGACTGGTGGATGAGGAATGCCTTTTAAATAATTAGATTTTTTTTTTATATGGCCTTTCTCATCAACCAGGACCTAAGCTACATTTGTGAAAAGCCTGCACTCCTGACCGTCCTTTGAAGGGTCAAACATCTGAAAGAGATTTCTCCCATACTAACCCAAACCTATGCCAACACCATCCCAGGATCTCAAGTCCAGCACCACCTACACATTTGAACAGATCATATGCCTGTAGGCACCTTCAGATCAGTTTTTTTCTGCTACTTAATAATCTATCACCATTTATAGAACTTGTTGTGTAGTTGAAAGACTTTAAGGTGTTTTTTGCACTTTCATGATGACATGGAAAGGAAAAGTAATAAGAAATTAACAGGAAGACGGCCTACCACCCTAGGTCATGGTCATATGGATCTACCACAGATCTAAGCCTGGCTGGACTGTCTACAGAACTATAGTCCAATCAGGCCATCAAATTCAACACCTTTCATTGTACTGAATCCATTGCAAGCCCCAATGAAACTCTAAAACTTTTCAAGTTACTTTCTCTACAACAAAACCTCAGGCTGCAGAATTGGAATCATTTTTAACAAATAAAGAGCAGCACCCATTACCTGCAGCATGAACTGGTCCACAATATGCAGCTCGGACAAAGGTCCCTTGTAGTTTTTATACATGGCGATATCTTTCGTTGTGGGAACATACCTGAAACAAGTTGAACAGATGTTATTTCAAACCTCTGTCTCCTCTTAATTGACGTCACCGGGGCAGTAAATGACTTGAACATTGCTAAAGCTGAGTGTATGCTAATAGAATTTCGTTCAACATTTTGTGTTGTAAGAACCTTGTAATAACATTCGTTCATTTTTCTAATGATTAGCGGGGGTCGAATCAATGTTCGTCTTTGACTGCAAAGACAAGGAAATTCAAAGGAGCAGGATGGAAAATTTTGTAATTAAAAGTTAAGGTGGAACTAAACCCTCCTATCCTTTTCATCCAATCAAGCTGCCATCTTAGCTTCTGTTTGATTTGCAGTTGTCATGGTGCTGCACTTGTGATCAGTTATGACACCAGCCATTTGATGGTTTGACAGTTTGGCTGAGAGCACAAGCATTCCCAGCATTCCTGGAATATACCTGCTTTTTTTTTTTAAATCATTGAGTCAATGGGATTAGTTCCACTTAAAAATGTTAAGAGCAAATTAAATCTTGAACTACTTTCGAGACTCTGGAATGTTTTGAGAATTTTTGTACAAATTTTCATTCTAAATTCTAAAAGTGTATAACCAGCTTAAAGCGGAACTAAACCCTCCTATCTTTTTCAGCCATGGAAGCTGCCACCAA